TTTATTCAACAACTACAAGACAAAGGACATGTTGCATCGACACATACCAGAAAGGAGAGAGAAGAGGGGCCTATCGGGGTGGCTCGGGAATGAAAATGAGACGCCAATCCTGAGGGAAAGGAGCTCACTGATCATGCCAAAAGCCTCAGAAGGTCACGTAGCTCTTCTTTCGCATTTATTTCTGGCTTGATGCGGTATATCTCCCGCGCTTCCATGATCTTTCTCTCCAGGGGCCGTATCATATGTCTATGAAGAACGCTCACGTCAAAAGATGGAGCGTTTTCATTCGTATGCCTTAGCGTACGGTGCCTAGAGAAACTGCTCCGTGGGTAGGCGGCGGGATTATTCAGCGCCCTCCTGTGTTCGTCCAGGCGTATCTTCAGGGTCTTGCAGTCTCTCCCACATACTTTTCTCCACATCCTCTACATCGGACTAGATAGACTGTGCCTTGGAGTTCGCAGATCTTCTCGGAAGTGCAGTATCGACAATACTGCTCGTGGCACCTATCCTCGTATATCCTCGATGATGTGAGGAGGTCTTGAGTGTGGGAGGAGGTCGAAAAACGAGACGAATCGGAAGCTGGGCATCTTTCACAACACGATTCACCTCACGAGCCATTTTGTCGTTGACATACGGCATCTTGAGGGTGATTCCATCTAACGTTCTGTATGGTGTCCAGGCTCCCAAATTTCCTTCTCGATACCCATTGCTTTCAAGGATGCTTTTAATTTTGGCATCTACGTCTGGGTCTCTTCGCGTCCCGAGTTTCTCCTTCGTTTTCTGAAGATTCCGCACAACGTTCGCCTTCATATATGTTGGATGAGCGCTTCTCGAATGCAACAATATATTTGAAGAGGCACTTTTTCTATACCACAGGTGTTCTTTGTAGCCGTTACTTATTCGCACTTTTGTATTCAGGAACGGTAGAAAACCATCCCTGCCCGGATCTTCTCTTGTAAAGGCTATATTAGCATCGTGTGAGTTCAGTCTTTCTAGAGTTTCCACGAGATCTTCTTGCGTTGTTCCAATGAGAAACACGTCATCGATATATCGCTTGTAGAATAGAATTCCACTGGATAGAGATGACTTTTCGATGTGGTCCAAAAAGATGACTGCTAACAACGGTGCAATGCGATTGCCCATGGCTAGGCCTCTTTTTGCTTGTAAAACTTGTTATTAAAGCAAAAAATGTTGCATTCGAGCGCTGCTTCAACGAGTTCCTTATTTCGTTAGCGGAAAATCCCATCATCGACACGTTATCACGATTTTCCTCGAGGAGTGATAATACAGCATGTACTGCTCCCTCGTTGTTCACATTTGTATATAAGGATACTACGTCGAAGCTCGCATAGAAGGCAGCCGTTGGAACTGGACATTGGTGAAGAGATGACAGAAACGTTAACAATGTGTGCTCCTACATATCGCAAAAGTGGCGTGAGAAGCCAGCCTAGTCTGTCTGCCGGTCCAACATGATGCGATAATTGGCCTTGTCTTGACTTCGTTGAGCTGCAGGGACATTGTATCAGCCGTGGATGGAATTTTATGCGTCTTCGGTTATTTTATTTTTGCAGTTATCAAGTTTATTTAGTGTCACGCAAACATATCCGACTTTTTTCCATTCCAGAAGTAAGGGGAATGTGCAAGGGTTAAGTGAATCAGATGTCCCCAAAATTCAATAGACCTACTTCGAACTGAAACAACTTTGAAAAGCGAACTTCCATTTGGGCCGTGGTTGGCAGAGTGAAGAGTCTTTGACGCGAACGAAAATGTGGTAGTTATTCTTCCGTCCATTCTAGATATCTTCCACAAATATGATGTGTCCCGCGATCAGACCCTCGAAGTGGCCGAGTTTGTACCTCTTGCGTATGAGATCAGCCGAAAACCAGTTGACACTGCTGAAGAGATCTTCAAGGTGAGAATTTCCTTAGGCGATTCATACACTAAAGTGGGGGGGGGGGGTGGGGGAAATCGCTTTTGTATAACTGGGACGACCACTTTGTTCACTTTTCGTGGAATAGTTTTGTGATGAAATGCAATTCATGTTGCAGTGTAACCATGACTAAAATATATGAATGTAGAAGAAGTATTTGTGAAAGCCGAATTCCCTAGCATCTAGCCTCAATTTATAGCGCATGGATCTTAATCACGATGGAACCATCGATCTCAACGAAGCAGCCATTGCACGAAAAGAGCACGGTGCTGGGTAAGTATTGAACGTAAAAAAAGCGAAAAAAAGCCATACCCTTCTTATCAACCAACTTTCAGACTGCTCCACGCGGTCCACTTTTTTTTCAGGATCATAGTCAAATTTTAGTACCATTTAGCCGACTTCGGAAGTATGGAAGGCTCCCTTGACGTGGGCGAAACACGATTCCTAATTCGAACCCGTGACCGTTGGCGAGAGGAAGTGGCGTTACCCAGCGCTATCTCATCCCGTCCATAAAACATGGCAAATTATACCTGATTAAGCGAATTCAAACAAGTTCGAACCACGATTTCTTTTCAATATTATGCGTACGTGGTCGAACGATGTCATCAACACCACCGTGCGTCCAGTTGCCGTATTTGGAGATATTTATGAATAACCTTTGTTTTGGAGTCTCTGAAGCGGTTGGCTTTTCTTCTAACGTTCGCTTATGTCGAAATTGTTACAGGGTCATTGATGGCGTGCTAGCTGTTGCTGATGTTAACAACGATGGGCAACTGTCTTATGAGGAGTTTAAAGCTCAACTTAACTACAATAAGCCGAAGAGTAGAGTCCGTTTACTAGATCCTGTCACGTTTTCCAGCTTACATTTAATCTAAACGCTAATCACTGGTTCCAGAAAGAGGCTAATAAGGAGATGGCTTACCAAGTGTTGAATTATATTGATCAAAACAGAGATGGGAAACTATCGGCACAAGAAATCCGCAATTTCGCCTCGGCCTATAACAAGGTGAGTTAGCCAGCATGTTTAGCACGACATTCTTGTTGGGCACAGCACATGTTGACGGATGTGGTGCAGTGGTCAAAAGCAGTCCCTAAACCGCCCGTATGATTGAACCTCTCACAAACGGGGAGCGTGCAACAGAATCGTCCGGGAGTGGCGCCGTCGCGCGCGGTTACTTGCGCGGCGCCGTAATGCGGCACTTTTTGGATGGGCGCGGCAACAACAGACTATTCGATTGGAGCGACAGATTTGCTGCGGTCCACATTAACCCTTTTGGCCGTGGACCATGGGACGATTCTGTTGATTCTGATTATGAATCTAAATTATGAAATGATGAAATTGAATGAATCTGAATTATGAAATGAATTATGATTATGAATCTTCTGATTATGATTCTAAATAATATCAATACTGTAGATGTAGAGGCACACAGCGATATAATAGCGAATTTCGAATAATACAATAGCGAGTTTCCCTATAGTGACGTTCCCTGAATGGATAGTGGGCAATACTGTAAAGACCACCTATGGCTTTGTTTGGACCGCAGCACATAACCATAAAAACAAACAGTATGGAACAGAAAACGAAGTAGCATGGCACTGACCAAAATGTCTAAGGGAGAAGTCGGTATAGCGTCCTTTTGAAATTCAAAGGAACGCCGCACGACTCGTCCACTACAGTCGCGACGTCGCGGCCGCGACCACAAGCGCGGGTCTCCGGACGATTCTGTTGCTACACACCCCTCACAAACGAGCCTGAGCTACACATTTTTCTTGGCTTAGTTCGCCACCGGCATGCACATACGGCTATCAAATGCTACCATGATTATA